TCAAATCCTGAAGCTTCTGTGCTTCAAAATAGGACTTTCCAATGATCTATGGTAGAAGCGTTGTGTATGTTCGAAGATAGATCTATTCGTCTATCTTCCAAGATAATATCGATTATTCAATTTCCATTTCTGCTATCGTTCTCTGTTCAGATATCACTCCCGTTCCAGCCGGTGAAATAATTGCGTGTGTCACTTAGCGATGACGCAGAAATAGAAGAGCATATTGGTGTATTTCGCACCAAGCGGCAGTCTCATAAAATAATTGCTTAAGCGTCATTTACTACATTCACGTAAAAACGCACGTGCTTTAGTTGTTTTTAACTGGAACAACAAAATTCTTCCGTAGTTTAGGAACGGAAGAGAATCGTAATTATCCCAAGAAACAATCATCCGTCGTCATTTCGCGGTTGGAAAACGTTATCCGTTTCATTTAAAAATCACGATTTTATTTTAGTTATTGGTTTATTGTCGTAAATATTTCTCGCGCGAGTTTTAAGTCTTCGCCATGTCTGGAATATCGTCAATTCGATCGGTAGTGACGTTGTAGAACAGCGAGTCCGAAACCTGGATATTCATATCATCAACAATCGATGCTGGCTCGTACTGAGTCATCCACACATCATTGATGGGAGCGTTATTGGGTGTCTCCCTTAGATCGTCGTTGCTAGAAATGATGGTCGCATGCGTCGACGTAGGTTGTTCTAGCGAATTGCCGAACACATTCGTCATTCGCATACCTTGTGACGTGTCGTTATACAGCATCCAGTAGGGCGAGAAGGAGTGTTGCCGTTGTTCAGCGGTATATCTTCGTTCAATCGAGCAACCATTAATTGCCGGGCTGGATTGTTGCGATACAATGGGAGCCACATAGCAATAAACACAGGATGTTTGGCTTAATTTGGAATAATCCACTTGTTTGGATACATGATAGTTTAGAAGATTCTCCAGATTGTTGTTGGCTTCGGGGATCCACTTCGGCCAGAACGGCTCCACTATTCCTGATTGATGAAATATCACTTAAATTAAAACGTCACAAAGTACCAGAAAATTTATCTCTTCGAAAAGAGATTCATAGTTATACTTTTTATGTTTACATGTTATTTATTATTTGTTATATTATTTATACGCTTACAATATTTATTTATATTAATAATAAGAAAATAAATAAAACGCGCACCATTTGTCGATCTCTGCAAATTTCCCGTACCAGATTCCTGATTAATATTATTTTCTACTCCTGTCATAATATTGCTCTGCGATTGCTCCAATCTCTCATTCAATAGATTGTTCGTCTCCTGAAATCGAGAATACTGAAGATACTGATATTGCTGATCGTTCGTGTAGACATTTTGCTGCACATTATTCTGTCCAAAGGTGTCAACATTATGAAGATAACTTGTGCTCATCTCCCCGCTGTGTTTGCCAAAATTTTGGAGATAATAAATATCAGATGGCTCATTAGTTATTATATCTGCACCAGTTGTGTAATTTACGTCCTGTGTATCATAATTGAAGAAATTTTGACCGTTATTACAGGCAGTATCAGTCTGATATTGATAAGCCAGATTGTTATCCATGTTTGCGGTAGCCATAGTAGAATCTGTGTTGTTGTAATAAATTGCATGAAACACTTTAGAAGATTGCAGATCACCATCAGGTACCTCCATCACACTGGTAATTGTCCAGTTTTGATAAGAGTTCGGCCGATTGTCCACATCACTGGGAAACCTATACTGATTATCACCGGCTAATACACCTGAGACTTGTTGGGGTGCCAAATTTGCTTCATTCAGCAGAAATTCACCCTTAGAGTTCTTCAGTAAACCGTAATATTCATTAGGATTCGTGTCCAGTTGATCCTCATTCTCGTTGCTTTCCGATTCGGCGGTCAGAGTATCAGAATTGTCTAACAAATTGCTAGCCCAGAACAGAGAACTGGCGATCTCGCCTAGATTGGCACCTACCGGCGCTTGTAGCATCCTCTTCAATAAGAAGGAACCCTGTAAGCTCCCTTCGGGTTCTTTCAGTACTTGATAGCTCGCTCTGTCGTTTGATGAGATTGCTAGAGGATCTGTATCATTGATTAGATTCGTTTTCGGGTAGCTTGGCTCAACTAAAGGAATCGTTTGCAGATTGGGTGACATAGTTGCCGTTCGCAAATCCACAATATTCAAATCCTGCACTTGGTTATTATTATTATTGTCACACGTTTGAAATTCCCGTTGAATCTTCTTGAGCAGAAATTGCTTAAACTCTTCGTAATGTGGGATCTTAGTATCATCCTCCTTGCTCGCAATCTCCTCCTCCGCACCAATCTGCAAAAACGGAAAACACTTTGTCCGAAGTCAATCATCGTTGCTTGCTTGTTGCATCGCAAAAACAAATAATAAAATATACAATTACTGAGTGGAAAAAGATACAACAAAAAATTTATAGTAACTGTAATCGTAGTAACTCTTTGAAAAATTTGTAGTAACTCACCCATTGATAAGGCGACTGTTGCTGCGATTGCTGTTGCTGTTGTTGGCAGTAATAATCATCATCAGCCATCATATAGTCAGGACTGTGCAATGGTGTCGATGTTATTCCAAGTTTGGAGTCCTTTGACTTCCTCGCTTTTCTCTTGCGACTTTTCCTCAACTCCTGCAGCAATCGGCAGTACTCCGCATCGTTTCCACTTCTAGCAGCTTGTAAGACTTTTACTAGCACTTTCTTCTGTAATTTAGTGATGAATCAACTGAATTAAAAAAAAAATTGGAAGATTTTTTTTTTAAATCTCTTTCAGATAAATCTAAAAATTTTATGTATACCTCTTAGTCTTAATCCATTCTTAATTATATCTTTCATATAATTTCTTTATATCAGTTATTTGTGGATTAAATAAAACCACTAGATTGAATAGAAATATTTACAAAAATTGATAATTTGAGAAACGATATCTTATAAATATTAAAATTGAGGATTACAATCAAAACAATTTTAGCAGTAATTAAATATATTTTGCAATCAAACGAATAATGTAAAAATTACAAAAGATTAGAACTAGATTATTAATACAACTCATATGAATATACTCTTCGAATAAATCGATGATCACTCGCTGGGTCGACAATATTTTATTGCTATCTGAAAGTAGACAAGAACATTCGATGGAATTAACAGACGCATGATAAAAACGACGGTTGCGTCGTTTGCTTCAATCGCCTCAATTCGTCTCTCTCTCTCTCTCTCTTTACAAAAACGAAATTAGGTGCATTGATGCATATCTAAGCAGTGGAGGCGGAAAAAGAGGAGGAATGAGGATGTAGGAAGTGCGCAAGAGATAAGCTCGTTAACAATTTCATATGATTCTTGGTTAGAACCTCAAGTTATCTACCCAGATCGCGAGCCGATATTATGCGGACGAGGGAAAGCAGCTCGTCTTCGCCGAGTGATTATTCTGCAGTGGTCGTCCATATTCATTTGCGGAAACGGATGGGACCAGGATTGCAGACGACGACGTTTCAAATCGGTCGAATATCCGTTACTATCGCAACCACCGCGGCCACCGGCCACAATTTCTTGCACCATGCGACAACGATGTCGCGGCGGCAACTTCGACAACCGGGGTTCCTTGGTTAGGAATTCGCGAATTGCGCATCCCCCCGGACCGTGTCCTCGTCCTCGATCGGACCGGAGAGAAATCCGATCGAGTTGGCGATTTTAACGCGCCATGGTCGATTCGAGAACGCGACAGAGCCGTGGATCGCAACCGCCGTTCGACGGGGGGCGCGATCTTGAACGGAGGGTTCGAATACGTCTCGCTATCTCGAAGAGACGGAAACGAGATGAAAGATTAAAACGAATAGGAAAGGGAAACGGTCGTTGGAACGCCAACGTCGCGTCGCGATGGCGACGACGTCGACGGCGACGACGTCGACGTCGACGACGTCCCGCGACGACGTTCCGCGACGCTGACAGCTCACCTTGATGTTACCCGGTACGTGGTACCTCAGGGCTAGGGCCTGCAGCTCCTTGTAGGACAGCTGCGCGATATCGCTACCGACGTTCATGCTGCTGCTGCTGCTGCTGTGTGGCGGGATTTCGTCCACTCGTCCTTGCTCGCTCGATCCGATTTTCGAATTCGAGCCGACTGACTTTTAGCGCGAAACGCCATAAAGTCGCGTTCTCAGCGGGATGCGCAATTAGGATTTCCCTGAATAAATTGGTGGGGGAGAGGGCGAAAACGATCGATTGTCGATTGGTCCTGACCGCGGCATCGCGATACGATTGATCGCCAGCCGGTGGATCCTCTCCAATTGCGCGCAAATGAACATGGCGCGCGTCAAATCCCGGAAATCACGGAAGTGCGATCTGGAAATGGAACGAGGAGTTTGTAGGTAATGTTAGCTTGGCTTTAAGTAGCGATCGTCGCGATTAAACGCATCCCTTTTCGCTGTCTGACATCTGCGTCCGCAATCACTGTGGAGATGTTACTAGTAATAACGCGACACATGACGTCATGATGTTTGATTTCCTCTTGTTCGATCCTCTTTTACGGCAAAGTCAGACTCTACACATAATAGAGGAAAGATCTAGAAGAATTAAGAATATTAAATTTTAGAAATACAAATTTGAAATAAAGATTAAACATAACGCACAATGGAATATAAATAAGTTCAAGATGTAGCTATATTTAATTACTTGTGTCCATTATGCTTAACATTTATATTATTATTCTTTATTACGAATTTTCATTTCCTCAATTCAAATTTTAATATTCTTGCTCCTAATATTTCCTCTATTATGCGCATGGCTTTACATTCAATGGAGGAAATATTAAGAACAAGAATAAATATTAAATTTTGAAAATAAAAATTAGAAGTAGAGATTAAATATAAACTGGACATAAATAAGTATAAGATATAACTATACTTACTATCTACATTATGTTTAATTTGTATATATATATTTTAATTTTTATTTATATATATTTAAATTTTTATTTTTATTAAAATTTAATATTTATAAGATTTATCTTACCTACGTACTTATATCCATTGTGCGTTACATTTAATCTTTATTTCTAATTTTTATTTCCAAAGTTTAGAATTTATTTCTGTTCCTAATATCTTCTCTATCGGGCAAAAGACTTTACATATGGAATGTGATTAGATATTAGATGGAAAGAAAAAGTCATTTAGCTTTAATCACTGATGAATTTTCGCAATTACTCTGCTTTCTACCTACCCATACCTTGGCTGATTCGTAACGTTAGGAAATAAGCAAAATTTTTTCTATTTTCAGATCATTTAACATTTTAAATAAGATAAGAAACGTTACAAGAAAAAAGAGAGAAAGAGACAGAGAGAGAGAGAGAGAGAGAGAGAGAGAAGAGGGAAAAAAAATTCTTGTAATCTAATAAACATTAAAGTAAATTGATATTATATATTAGCAAACTACGTTACAGATATACTGGAACATTTCCAGGTGTGCTACTTTTGCGTATCGACTTTGTGCGTTTGTTTATACAGAAAGAAGTTACAAAGTTCGTCAAGAGCTTGTAAAAAATTTACAGAAGGCCAAGATCGACTACATATGTTGCGCGACAAACATTTATGCCTGATATTTAAGTCCGAGGTGGGAGAAAGAATAGAAAAGCATCAACGAGTACCCACTGAATATCAACTAACAATCAACTAACAATATAATGTCAATGTTATAATTTCCAACTCAATAATGTAAATGCAAATATAGCACATGGGTTATATTTATTTGGGTGGAAAATTATAATATATAATATTGGTGTTTACTAGATAGAGAAATTTTAAAGTTAAGTGCATTATTCAATTTAAAGAAAATATTCGAAGATTCAAATCATTTTAGCTTCTTCCTATTGAGAATTAACTCTAATGAATCCAGAAAAGTATTGAAAAAATGAATATATTCAAATACTCGTCACGGATCGCCTACTTGGAATTTCGTAATCGGGATGTCGCAGCTTCTAAACGAACCTATTATGATTTTCCGACGATATCGACGCTCTGATACGTGACGCAAATAAGTGTAAGAACGTTGTGAATTAATAACCGTTCGCTATTTTTGTGAAATCCAATGGGGATTGATCCGGCTTACCCCGTCGACTTACCTTCCTAAAGAATCGATATGCGGATGTCCAATAGAAAAGAAACGTCGTATATATTTCAAGCGTATTCGTCGAGTTTTGAAAATATCGAGCTCTTTATCTTTCTTGAAAAAGTCACTTGAAATGAGTACACATTAAAAAGTATAAAATTTAACAATTCCGAAAGACAGAAAGAGAAGCTTATTCTTCACGTTTAAGCCACGCTTGGTAAACTTGATAACTGACTCGTCAACTGAATATGTTAATATTTTTTTGATAACCATATATATATATATATATATATATATATATAGTTCACGGAACTAACGAACAAATGTCTATTTTTAAATTGAGACAGCTAACAATCGAAGGTGGCCCAACTTGTCAGTTGTAATGACATCTCACGGTGGATTACTTCAATAATAAAGTTATTATTGGAAGGACACATTGATGAGCCGAAATTCAAATGAAGCAGCTAGCAATAAGGCGCTGTCAGTCCTGTCTCATGACTATGTTTACTGTTTCTTAAAAACTTCAGGTCTTTCAAGCTTTCAAAAAGACTTTTAAGAGTTTCCAGACTTTCTCCATTTTTAAAGCTTTCAAGACTTGTATAATATTTAGAACAATCATCTCTGGCGATCAATTAAAAATTTTAACTTTAATTTTATTTTTATTTCTTTTTTTTTTTAATTCTGTCATTGATAAAAAATATAAAATAGAAAAGTTTTTTGTTTAGTTTTAGTTTAACGATTAACTTAGTTAATTCTTAATTCTTTTATCGAGAAGAAGATAGATACGTTTAAATTTTTTTTTACTCATGTTAATGGAACTAATTATATTTTGTAAGCATTAAGCAAAGTTTATTACTATTATTATTATTATTATTATTATTCTGAATTAACATTTCCTTTCCAATATCTAATGTTTAGCTGTGCAACTAAATTATTTCTCTTGGAAGAATAAAAAAATTGATATTTCTCAAAATTATAATATTATATACATTTATGTGGGAGACTTTCACGAATTTCTTCGACGTTGCAGCGAAAACAGAATTCGGATCGATTCGAAACTTTTCGTTTCAAGTTCTCGTTGAGTTTGTCGCTACCACCAGCTGCCGAAGATCGTCGCGCACTTGCGCGTTGAAAGCGACGTATGGCACGTTTTCTTACGGACCCTTCGCGGTGGTTCAGTGTGATATCATCGGCGCAGTGTAACACTATCCGCAGCCTCCGTCCAGCATCGCGAAGGACGGACCGACGGCGATCGCGGCAGAGTCAAGAGTGTGACCCGTGCGCAGCATCCGCAATTACGTGGTGGTCCAGTCTCGCTTTCGCTGTATCTCCACTTTCTATCTTCCCTCTCTCCTTCTCTCATCCCGCTCCGTGACGGAGAGCGCGCCTCGGGGATGCGTCGCGCCGATCAGTGGTGGTGAATCGAATCATCCCGACATAATCCCGTCCCGCCGGCGATATATCAGGGGCAGGCCGAGCAGGAGGTCTGCGCGCTTGCTGGCCGATGAAGGCGCGTAAGAGCCGCGACAAACGTAAGTCCGGGAGACGAGAGCGACTGTAAAGAGAGAAAGAAAGGCTGCCACGCGATCGAGCTCTTCCTCCTCTGCTTCCTCGCCCCGTGTTCGTGCGGCATCGTTCGATATTACGTGCCACAGCCGTTGATACTTGGACCAGTCGATCGACTACTCAGCGGAGAGCGTCGTTGACAAGCGGAGCGACAGCCGGGGGGTGATAACTGCCGAATGCAGCACCAAGGTGCGGTGACCAGCGACCAGGGTCTTCTCTTCTTCTTTCACTCCCCTCCCCCCTTCTGTGGAAATCTCGGATTGCTTTGATTTGACTGTCTGTCTGCCTTATCCGTTTGAATGTAGTAATCCCGTGTTCTGTGAATGGTAGCCCTTGCGTAGGTTGGAGTCCAACCCCTGTCGCACCAGAATTATTAATGTGTCAAAGGTCATGTCTATCGGCTTCGAAACCTTTGGATGTATCTTGGGGGATGATATTCTTGGATAATGCTTTTTCTCCGATCTTCCAGGTCCCGCTTTATTGATTCCCGGATTCTTTCGGCGTTCAAATACTCGGCTACGAAATTTACGAAGCCTCTCTCTGTTTCATCTCCTTCGATCATTTGTGCATCTATATTTCCACAACGTTAAGATTCCGCAAGAGGAACTTGTAATATTTTTAACATGTAATTTTCTTCACCTCTTCTTAAACTCTTTAAAGATTCTAAATAATGTTCTCGGACATTTGAATTATTATTACTCTTTCTTAAGTCATCATCTTTTGGTCTCTTTAATTATATGAAAAAAATTTTGTTGAAATATTTTAGAATTTAACCAGACACAGATCAGAAAATAATTTTGTTGGTCCATTTAAATTATGTAGGAAATGTATTAAATTGTGGTTGTTAGAATATAAAAAATTTTTGCAATATATGATAATATATTGTAATTGTAATTTTTAAGTGTCTTACATAATTATTTAATAAAAATAATCATGTAAAATACAAATACATATTTAACAATAAAATTATTTTTAAATATGTATTTGACCAAATTTCAGATATTTCAGCAAAATCAATTTCTTCATATATATATATATATATATATA